TACTCCTCGGCGCTGGCGGGCTCCGCGCCGCCCAGCACAGCCAGCAGCCCCGACCCTGCGGGCGGCCGGGCCATCCTCACGCTCGGCGAGGCACGAGCCGATCGAAAATCGGCACGGGCAGCGGCGCCTCGCGCCTGTCGGCCTCGCGCTCCTAGCCCTCGACCGCGGCCTGCTCGCTGGCGAAGCGGCGCAGCCGCGTGCCCGAGGCGAAGCTGTAGCGACGGCCTGGCAGCGTCGGGGCCAGGGCCTTCCAACCCGTCGCCGCCTCCGCAGCGCACGCCCCGCAACTCCGGGCGGAAGGGGTGGCGCCACACCGCGTGCGCCCACGCCTCAGGGCATGCGGCTCGCGCGGAGGCTGGCTTGCCAGCGGCCAGCCCGGAGCTGCGCTCCCGCCGCGTCGCCTCGCCTGCCGCTCCCGCGGCCTCCCCGGCCGGCGCGGCGCCGGCCCCGCAAGGGGCGCTGCCCAACGCGACGGCGGCGCACTCCGCCAGGGCGGCGTCCGCGCCGGCCGCCATGTGCACATGAATCTCGACGCGCTGCTGGATGAGAGCGTGCCAGCGCCGCCAGCAGCCCCAGGCGCCGGCGCAGCCGCCGCGAGCGCCTCCGCCCCCGCGGCGCGGCGTTGCGGGCACCGGCCCCCGACGAGCCGCTGTCGCCGGCCAAGGCCGCCCAGGGAAGCCGCGCGCTCGCGGGCGCCCCCGCGCTGCATGAAGCGCGCGAGCGGGAGCGCACGGAGCTCGCTCGACGCTCGATCCGTGACGGCTGAAGCCACTGCTCGACGTCAGGAAAGCCTACGAGTCTGCCTTGTGCACAGACTGCAGTGAGAACCATAGGGCATGAGACGCCTGATTCAGTAAGCTTACGCATGGCCTGCCTGTAGGCCTACCAGAGGCCTACCTATAAGCTGCCAATAGACCGATCGGAGGCTGATATGCAGGCTATACACAAACCGATGGTAGAGCTATTGGCACGCCGCGCATAGACCTACGAGAGCGTATAATACACTGTGCATCGACTATCGCCGAGCTTGGCGAGGAACAGCTTGCGCGACCGGTCCAGGTCGGGCGCGAAAGCGACGACCTCTTCCGAGCTCCCTGTGTGACGCATCGGGCGCAGGCCGTGGTCCAGAGGTCGATCTCGCTCGACCAACCTCGAGTCCATGTTGGCCGCCGCCTCGAAGACCGGGCGGTGGCGCACGGGGACGAAGTGGGCATCCTGCCTGCAGAAGGTCGCGCGGCTGGCCACGAAGAACGAGACCGCGAGAGGTGGGGGGGCCCGCGCCTGCTGTCCAGGCGCGGCCCCTCGCAATCGCAATCCGAATTCGAGAAGCCCCTGCGACTTCATCTTGCCGCGGCCGCTCGTGTCGCAGGGCGCGCGGCTCCACTGCTTGGCAAGGGCGAGGTGGCGGGGCAGCCTCGCACGCTGCACCGCGCTCAAGCCCATCCCGGTCCGGCACGAAACCGGGCACCGCTGCCGCGAGCCCAGCGCCAGTAAGGAGCACGCCACCACGAGCAGGTTCACCTGCAGCTTGGCCACCCGATGTTTCTTCCAGCGCCCCCGGCAACGAGGGCTGGCGCACGGGGGGGCGCCGATGGTCCACGGGAACAGCGGCGCCATCGGGGACAACTGCAGGCAAGTACGCGTCGGGGACTCCGACGGTGCACCAGAGAGCTGCATGCACGAATACAAATAAAACGCCAGTCTTGCCCTGGCTCGCAGAAGGCGGCGCACCGTGCCGATCTGCGCCCGCGGCGCCCCGCCCTCGAGGTCCGCGAGGAGGGCGGCGACGCTGGCTACGCCCAGTTCTGGCCGTCGCCCTACTTGGCCTTGGGAGGTTCCTTGGGCGGGCGCGGGTCGTCGTCGCCCATCTTGCCGCGGCCATCGCTGGACTTCCTCCGGATCCCCGCCAGGGGCGCCGCGTCCTTGGCGTAGGCCATCGCCGCCATCGCCCACGTGGGCTCCGCCAGGTGCCCGAAGTTGCGGGGGCTGCCCGCCGCCGGCGCCTGCCGCCATCTGGGCCCAGGGAGGCTCCGGCAGGTGCGTCAGCAGCCAGGCCAGCTGCCATCGCCCGTTGTCCCTCTGCGCCTGCCCCAGGGCCGTCAGCAGCAGCGGCGCGACCGCCTCGGCCATCTCATGCTGGCCCCTCGCCATCAGGTCGGCCACCCTCGCGATGCCGCCTCCGAGGTAGGCCGAGGTCCTATTGGCCCTAGAGATCGCGCCCGTCCTCAAAACGAACTTGACCACGCACCCGCGGGCCCGGGTCGCCCGAGGGCCCCGCCAGCGCCTGCTCCGCGCCCCCCCTGATCACGGCGGCCCAAGCCGACGGCCGCGCTTCAAGGCCCCTCCGCAGCAGCTCCATACTGGCCGCGCCGCGGGCCCCCAGCATCATCCTGCCAGCGGCGCCGGACTCGTCGAGGCCCGACTGCAAAAGGCCAGCCAGCGCGTCGGGCGCGCCGCCAGATGGCATCCGCTGCAGCGCGGCCACGGTAGCCCAGTGCGCGGCCAGCTCCGCGGGCGGGCAAGGCCCCGGCTGGCGGCGGCGCCGCGGCGGCGGGGTCCCCGGCCGCCGACGCGGCGGCGGGCGCGCTTGTGCCAGTCTGGCACTGAGCGGCGATGCCCTCGGAAGACCTGCGCACCTCCCCCTCCGTGACATCCCTCAGCGGCACGCCGTGGTGCCGAGCTTAGTTGGCCCACGCCTGCGCCACCTGCATCGGGTCGAACGGCATGGCCCCCCCGACCTGGCCAGCAGAAGCAGCGGCGAGGGGGGGCGGCCCCAGCGGGTGCGGCCGCGCCCCCGCGCGGCTGCCCCAGCACCTGCGGGTGCCACGGCGCGGCGGCAGCGAACGCCGGCGCGGCGGCCCGGCCTCCTGCGTGGGAGGCAGCGCGCCCGCTGACTCGAGCATCGCCATGCACCGCACGTCCAGGCTGCTGGACTCCAGCCGCTCCAGCATCGCCTGCAGAGTCGCGACCGCGGTCCGAAGTGCCGTCGAGCCCGCCGTCGAGCGCTGGCGAGCTGGACCGCGCCGCGCGTCGCGGGCGCTGTCCTCCTCGCCCTCGGCGTTGCCCCCAGCGCCTGGGCGACCGCGCGGCGCCCGCCCGCGGCCGCCTCCGAGCGACGCGGCCTTGGCGGCGGGGGCTGCAGCGGTCGCGCCGCGGGCGGCGGCGGCGGCGGCAGCGCTCTGCCAACGCGCAGCATCCACGCCGGCAGCGGCGGCGGCCGGCGCACCAGGGGGCCCAGGGGGCTGCCAGGGCTGCCACTCGGCCGCCGCCGCCGCGCCGCCTTCGCCGCCTGGCGGAGTCTGCGCGCCGGGGAGCTGCTGCCCGTCCGGCCCGACCACCATGGCCTTCGACTCCCGGCTCGGGCTCCGGAGGGGGCCACCGCAGGCGCATGAGGCCCTGCCACGGCCCCATGCTGACGGCACCGTCCAGCACTGTGTCGAGGTCCTCCGGGCTGAGCGTGAGCAGCCGGCGCCAGGGCGCCGCTGTAGTCCCGCTCCGGGTTCGCCATGTGGTCGGGCACCGACAGCGGCAGCTCGGCGTCCAACGCGCCGAGGGCCAACACCCGTCGCTGGACCAGGAGACTGTCCGACGCTGGATCCAGCCACGCGCCCCCCTTCCGAGTTGACCCGCACGAAAGCCACGATCGCCTGCTGGCCGTCGTGGGTGGGCATGTGCGTCGCCGGGTCACCCAGCGTCGCGAAGTGCGGGCTCAGCCAAGGGTGGATGTCGGCTGGCAGGGCCAGCGTGAGCACCCCGCGCCCCTTGCTGATCGGCGCGATGGGGACCGCGAGCGCTGCGCCCTCGACCGCCTGCCCTGGGTGCACAACCGAAACGTCCACCTGCAGCGGCTGGCAGTCGTCCGTGAGCTCGGCGACGCGCAGCTCTCGTACTCCTCGGCGCTGGCGGGCTCCGCGCCGCCCAGCACAGCCAGCAGCCCCGACCCTGCGGGCGGCCGGGCCATCCTCACGCTCGGCGAGGCACGAGCCGATCGAAAATCGGCACGGGCAGCGGCGCCTCGTGCCTGTCGGCCTCGCGCTCCTAGCCCTCGACCGCGGCCTGCTCGCTGGCGAAGCGGCGCAGCCGCGTGCCCGAGGCGAAGCTGTAGCGACGGCCTGGCAGCGTCGGGGCCAGGGCCTTCCAAGCCGTCGCCGCCTCCGCAGCGCACGCCCCGCAACTCCGGGCGGAAGGGGTGGCGCCACACCGCGTGCGCCCACGCCTCAGGGCATGCGGCTCGCGCGGAGGCTGGCTTGCCAGCGGCCAGCCCGGAGCTGCGCTCCCGCCGCGTCGCCTCGCCTGCCGCTCCCGCAGCCTCCCCGGCCGGCGCGGCGCCGGCCCCGCAAGGGGCGCTGCCCAACGCGACGGCGGCGCACTCCGCCAGGGCGGCGTCCGCGCCGGCCGCCACGTGCACATGAATCTCGACGCGCTGCTGGATGAGAGCGTGCCAGCGCCACCAGCAGCCCCAGGCACCGGCGCAGCCGCCGCGAGCGCCTCCGCCTCCGCGGCGCGGCGTTGCAGGCACCGGCCCCCGCCGAGCCGCTGTCACCGGCCAAGGCCGCCCAGGGAAGCCACGCGCTCGCGGGCGCCCCCGCGCTGCATGCAGCGCGCGAGCGGGAGCGCACGGAGCTCGCTCGACGCTCGATCCGTGACGGCTGAAGCCACTGCTCGACGTCAGGAAAGCCTACGAGTCTGCCTTGTGCACAGACTGCAGTGAGAACCATAGGGCATGAGACGCCTGATACAGTAAGCTTACGCATGGCCTGCCTGTAGGCCTACCAGAAGCCTACCTATAAGCTGCCAATAGACCGATCGGAGGCTGATATGCAGGCTATACATAAACCGATGGTAGAGCTATAGGCACGCCGCGCATCGACCTACGAGAGCGTATAATAAACTATGCATCGACTATCGCTGGGATTCTTTATTGTGGAGATCCGGGGGGGGGTCGGGCCACAACATTGATCTCCAGCGGCCGTTCGGGACGATCTGGGCACCCCCGAAACGGTCGCGGCGAGGCGCAGCTGCTGGAGAGCATCCCGAGGCAGGAACACCTCCAGGAGCCATAGGGGAAGCGGAGGGAAGGGCGGCAGAGGGGAGGCAAGGGCTAGGTGCGCTCGCGCCTCATCTGACATCGTATCCTTCCCTCCCATCCCTTCCCATGGCGCTGATTCTATCTATCCGCGGACGCGTGTCATAGCCGACCTGCGACTCACACAGAACGATTACTTCGTGCTGTTACTCGCAATCAGAGAAATCGAAGCTGCGTGCACAGGAGGAGGAGGAGGAGGTGGAGACTGAGCAGGAGGACGAGCGGGAGGAAAAGGATGAGGACGATCAGCAGCAGGGGGAACTAAAGCGGAAGGATCGGGAGGGAAAGAAGGAGGGGAAGGCGGAGGGGAAACGACGGGGGCGACAACGATGAATAAAGACCAGAGTCAGAAAAGTGGCCCGCGCTGGGGCGAGACGAACAGCAGCAGAAGGAGCGGGAGGAACAGGAGGACCAAGGGAAGCCGGAGGAGGGGGAATGATGGAGGGGGACTACAATGAAGCTAGATTGGGATCCAGAAAGGTGGCCCTCGCTGAGGCGAGAGCGGCGCCAGTCCGAATGACGGGAGCAAAGCGCCGATCCGAGAATAAGGCCGACGCTGCAGCGGGAGCACCATGCTGAAACGCCAGAAACACTTGGATCGCAATAGAAACCGTAGCAACTGGAGCACCTTGCTGAAACACCGGAAGCATTTGGATCGTAACAAAAGCCGTAAGACAAATCAAGGCTTGAAATCCGGTGTGCGTAAACACAGCACGCGGAGGGGGCGGGAGGGATGTCCCGGACCACCTTCAGGAAAGGAAGGGCAACAGTATTCCTATATCGTTTAATCCAAAACAGCACGCGGACGCGGAGGGGGCGGGAGATCTCCCAGACCACCTTCAGGGGACGAGGGGAAGAAGTCTTCCTATGTGGTTTCATTATGGAGGGGGGGGCGGGAGGGGCAGAGGAGTACTCCTAGAATGCTAATGTGGGGGGAAGAAGTCTTCCTGTGTTGCTTAGTTGTGGAGAGGGGTGGAAGGGGGGGTGGTGGGTGGGGGCGGCAAGGAGCGGAGGAGAGGGCAGGGGCGGGAGGAGGGGGGGGGGGGGGGGGGGGCAGAGCGGGGGGGGGGGGAGGCACAAGGGAGCGGAGAGGGAGAGGGCGGGGGGGGGGAGGGGGAATCGAAGGGGGGGAGGCAGGGGCAGGGGGGAGGGGGGGCAGAGGGGGGGGGGCAGAGGAGGGAGCAAAGGGGGGGCAGGAGGGGGCGGGGGGGGGGGGGGGGCAGAAGGGAGGGGGGAGGGAGAGGCGCAGGGCCGTGCCGAGGCCGCGAAGGGCACCCACGGGGGAGAGGGGCCCGCTAGGCCGGGCACCCCGGCCCAGGTCATCGCGCGGCGCGCGGCGCGCGGCAGAGGGGGCGCGATCTCGGCTGCCCGCTGCCGCCCCCCCAGACATGCGACGCCCAGGGTGAGCTCCACTGGTGATTTCCACGGCGCGGTACCCCGGGGCCGGCTTGTCCTCGATCCTCCTACCAGTTCTCTTCCTCCTCCTCCGCCTCCTCCTCCTCCTTCCTCCTCCTCCTCCTCCCCCTCCACC